CCCCCCCCCCCCCCCGGTCCAGCAAACAGGCGTTGAATTCGCCCGTGGCCGCGCCACCTACCACCCAGAGGGCACGATCAAACGGGCAAACTTGTTGATCGCCAATGCGGAGTACGTCTGCCGTTGCAAGCGCTCCACGGCATGCGAGGCTGCCTTCAAGCTTGGCTCCCGGCGGCTATCCCTCCACATCATAAAATTCTACATGCTGCATAATCACGAGGCCTGTCGGGCAGCACTGGAGGACGAGGAGGAGGGACACAAGGAAGGCGACGAGCATGCCCCACCAGGTACTCCGTGTCCTTTATACACTAGTCTCAGATGAGCATTGTCATACTCTGTCAAGTAAATATCAATAAAGTTGTGAAAATCCCCATAACTATGTTCAGAAGAGACAGTGGCGAGCGAACGTTCCTTTCGGTAAATTCTCATCAGGCCAATACAGTTACATAGGACGGGGTACAGTGAGTGAAACAAAAATCGATAAAAGTTAGGTTTTAAATTCCAGGCTGGGCAAGAGCGGAAGGGCGCAGAAAGTTGTATGCGGTTAGTCAACCTTTGACCACGGTAAGCGCGGAGCCTGAACAAGGTTCTTTTGGGCGCATAGGGTCGGATTGCGTAACCTGATGGTGGCCGCTTCTGCTGTTGCTAACAGGCGCTGGCCCAGTAGCTTAAGGTAGCTCGAGGGGACCTTGTAAATCACACGAAATGCTTCAGTGGGGTCCACGCGATGCCCTGAATCCACTGCATGCGCAAGGATGGCGCTGTCTATTCTCCTAGTTTTACCCTTTGCCAGCCATGCGGGAAGGTGCTCTCGTATTCTTTTGGAAAGGCGCCGACGGTAGCATCCGAAGGAGCGCGAAGCAAGTCCTGGATTTTTCTAAGTTCCTCCTCGATACTATCTGTTGAACAAATTTTTCTAGCCCTTTGTGCCAAGCACCTGACTAGATTCCCTTTTTGTTAGAGAGGTACGAAACTAGCTAAGTTCGTGTATTGTCCAGACCAGGTTTTCTTCCAGTAGACGCTCCGCGCTTACCGTGGTCAAAGGTTGACTAACCGCATACAACTTTCTGCGCCCTTCCGCTCTTGCCCAGCCTGGAATTTAAAACCTAACTTTTATCGATTTTTGTTTCACTCACTGTACCCCGTCCTATGTAACTGTATTGGCCTGATGAGAATTTACCGAAAGGAACGTTCGCTCGCCACTGTCTCTTCTAAATATCACAGGGCCCTTGATGTTACTGACTGATGAGCATAAGGAAGCCCACACGGATTGAAAACTCTTCGGAGGACAGAGTTGTGCTGTTCAACTTCCGACACCGCCGTTAGCTTTGTGAGCCACCACATCACCTTTCTTTTGATTCGGAAGGCCATCCCAATGGAGTCTGGGCGCTTCGATGTAGATTTTCGGTGGCCCTGGTAATCCGTTACATCAGACAGTAATGCCTACAACTTTAATCCGATTGGTTATCCCCGTTTTTTTTCATTCTCATCAGCCTACGAAGTCCTCGAGGACCTGACGCCTGAATTTGTGCGCTTTTTCCCCTCTGACCGCATG